GCCTTGAATGCAATTCTTTCAGTTCACTTCTTAAGCATCTACCATGACCATTTTGAAACAAGCTTTTTGATTTTGACAAGGACGTGCTTCGTTCGTTTTTTACCTTAACAGAAGAGTAGGTGAAGCCTATTGAGCCACACTGTTGGTCAAGCCCAGCGCATGATTGAGCGCTTGCGCAGTCATGAATTTCTTTAGGTATCCAGCGTGAAAGAAGTACACAACCTTTGTTCCACTCTTCCCGGACAATCGAGGTGTCCCGCGGGCGGTCCCGATCAAACATACCACAGTTGCCGCAAGGACAGCGTTCGTTTAGTTGTTCTTCAACTGAGAAATAATAATAATTTTTAAATTGTTTTAATTCCTTTCGATACAAAAATCTGAAACTCTGGTTCTGTGCCTCAGTCGAGCCTGAATTATGGTGGCTGGACAGCTACGATGGGGTTCATAAAATGATAAATTAGCAATTCTCTTAATTACAATAAGGAGAATTGTGTCGACACTTTACTCGAGAAGTGATGGAGGCTGACATTGCAGCCCACAAGTCATTACAAACTCTTGACACAAGTGTGTTCGGTTTCCTGTCTTTTGCAATTTCTTTCTTCCATGTCTTTCTGGTCGAATACTGATGGTGTTTGGTCATGAGATCGCTACCTTCTGTCGCTTAAAATTATCACAGAATTTTCTGGTGCCTTGGGTCTATTTTGCAAAACATAAGAGAGGTAGAACCATTAAAAATTTCTTACACTACAGTTTCACCACTAAGGAGTCGAATATCCTCAGTTAGTCTCGAATACGACACTTTTTATACTGCACGGGTAGCCTGATGAATAATGGTTTCCTCTCTTTCCTCCACGGGAGCTACAATCATTTTAGAAAGCAACTTAACGTCCTGATCAGTTTTACCTTTCATTTGCGCGCGTGCGTTTACAAAGGAAAATAGATAAAATTTCCCGAGAATTAAGAATTTGTTCATGCTTCGCGTGCGTATATCGTGTTATGGATGCACGCGGGAAGTTTGGAGAGCACCAAAAATGCGTAATAGTAGC